TTGGAACAAGAAGACATAATAATAAAAAATAAAATATTTATAGAAACACGAAAACTCATTCAAACATGCCTTAGCGTGATAAACGTTCTTTTGATTGACGTCGCCGTTGGTGGAAGAGCCATGTATATTTTTAAAGTCTTTTGTAGGCCTAGATAAAATTTACAATGTTTGGACGCTATATCATTAATGGAGAGCTCATTGTGCGCAGAAAGCTCTTTCGTCGTCCAGTTAGCTATCCTCGTTTAGTATTCAGCTTGAAAATTGTAGATTTAAAATTTTTCCCTTATTTTTTCTGATCGGTAGTGAAAAAAGTATTATTTTTTGTTTTTGGATGTAATAGGTTTAAAAAAACCTATAGTGCCTACCTAACAAAATATCAGTAATGCATAACTTATACGTTGTAAAGCCAGGGAGGGACACCTGCCCCCCTTGCCACCCCCATGTTTTCTTCTATATACGTAAAAAATATCTGCCAATTGAAATTTTCATAAAATCAGTAAATTAGTGGCAAGATAATAAATAGACTCACTGTCTAGACTGGAGCGTGGAGGGCACGAAAAAGGCATGTTTCGTGTTAAAATTGCGTATCTGTGTCCTTCTAATGTGACCGACGTGGCTAGATCTAATCGCCCGAACACCAGAATTGAGGCCTCCACGACTTTTAGCCCTTCCTTACTTGCAGCCAGCCAATAACGTAAGTGAATAGGTTACGGTTAACGGAAAATATATTGAACGTCAGATTATGATTGGAACAAGGAACAAACGAAACAGAAGGAGCCTTATAAAAGTTATAAATAGACGTGGAATGTAATTTTTTTTATTAAAACAGCTCTCATTGACAAGCCGCCACTAATTCTATGTAGCTATTCTGTTATTTCTGTTAATTTTTGTGAGTTTGTAGCAGAATTCAACAAATAAAGGATATCACGAAAAATGTTGCGATTAAAAAAGTAGGAAAGAAAAACATTCTCAAACTTTTATTGGAATTTATGGTAGATTATATATTTGAGGAATTAGATACTCGTGACTAACAATGAAAAATAGATTCACCTTTAACTGATCTTGATTCAGATACTAATCAAACAGTTACAAATCATTTACAAGAATTAAATATGAATTTTATACCAGAATATCTTAATTGTATTAACAGTGAGTGAATCTGCTCACAGAATTTTTTGATAGAGAACATCCAGAATATTTTCAAACTACTTATTTATTGAATACAATTATCTTAATATTAAAGAATAATGCTAAAATGTAGTTAATATTTAAAATTGTGTACCTAAATTGAAGAAATCAAAATTTTTGACATAAATTAGTTGATTTTTTTTCCAGACACTCGAAGATCCATACGTTGAAAACCAATATCAACAAGCTAAAAAAAATTTCGAATTGTGTTATTTCAAAAATAAACGATCTTTGAAAAAATCCTAAATCAAATCAATTTTAATTTTTGAAATGCCATCTTATGGTATACATCAAAGAGACGTTTTCGAAATCAGTGTTTGAGTAATGGCGTAATAATCGACAATTACATGTGTTTAAGATTTTTTTAAGTCGTCTATTTTTAATAATAATGAATTTACTCCATACATTTGCTGAATGATAAAGTTGATAATTGTCATATTAATAAAGTTTCAGAGGAAGTAACTTTTTTTACCTTCAAAATAAAGATTTTTATGTAAAAGAACAAAATTGTATCTATTGTTTAACATATTTGTTATTATTTTGAATTAATGAACCGTCCAACAATTAATTTTCACTTCAACAACTATACCTGGTACGTATACTTATTTAACAATTATTCTCAAATGTAAGCAACGAGAAAAAGTTTCTTTGACCATGAGCTATAATTATTTAATTGAAAGAGAAAAAGAATATATATGATTTGTTGATTTCAAATCATTTTTTTTTTTTTCATTTAGTAAGACAAGACGTATTTGGTCATATCAGGAAAATAAATCCAATAGGCATGTCGACTCACAAGTCAATTTATTCATATTTATATTAACCTGAGATACACGTTTTTTTCTACGGCTATAATACAAACCTACACTTTCTCAACTACTGTTTATTTAGAAATGAGGTACATTTCCTTATTTGACAATTCAAAGCCTGCGGCTCATGCTGTAAATGTGATATTCGTAGGAAATGAGTACCATTCCTTGCTCGTTAAAAAATATACTATTATGATTTATAATTCATATTTATCTTTTCAAATGGATTCTTCGGTAGATGCGCTCACTATCTAAATTTGTGGTATTTTAGTCGCGTAATTCCTAAAGCTACGGTTACACTGCAAGCGAATTCGCGCGAACTATAGTTCGCGCGTGTATGTCCGAATTCGGGCGAACAAGAAGTGGTTTCTGGTTCAGATTCGTTAAGCGAAATTCATAGCGATTTTAACGGACGCAAGTGCGGTGTGTGTTCTATTATGGATGTTGAAGAAGAATTTTATTCAGCAGAAAGTGTAATACCGAAACTGCTTTCATTTAGAAAAAGAAAGGGACAGTTCTGGGTTAACGAAATTTTCTGGATTTATCCCTATTATGGTACTTTTTAAATTTTTGATCCCACAGTGCCCTTCTGCCAAACACAAGTAGGATTAATTTCTCATTATCCATATTATTTAGGAGTAAAATTTGGATAGTAAATTACCGCGAATACATGTATAAAAAATCACGCTATTCTATGCAGTTCGCATCGGTTTATTCGCTCGAATTTGGACGTAAACGCACGAACTATGGTTCGCGCGAATTCGTTTGTACTGTAACCGTAGCCTAATGTGTAATTTCTGAACATAGCTGCTTTTAAAGGGAATTCATGTTAGTGGTAGTTGCGCCCTGTTTGTATTTTTAGGTAGGCAAGTAAACTTAAAATATCTGCGATTCATTTTTTACTGTTCAAAAATTGATTTTGTTTATTGTGATGATGATGAATCACTAAAAGCTGGGCTATTTTTGGGATAGTTATAGCTCTCATCTTCAGTTAGTAAAAAAAGTTATTCATATTTATTTCTTGTATTTTAGATTATATAATTTCCACTTTTCATAGCTATGACTTGAAGATGAGCTATAACTAGTCCGATACTAAACGAGGGGTAAGACTATTAGTAACGAAAAAATACTTTTTCTTCGCTGCTTTATTTAGGTAAGTATTAAAATATTAAATGAAAATATAATTGCTGCTAATCAATTTATATTATAAATACATACTATATATTTGAAAATATGTCGACCTCAAATTGGGGGGCAGGGGTTCGGCAAAACCTCACCAAATCTCATTTAAAGGGAGGAGGATCAATGAAAATCTCACGTCAACTTTTTAATTCAGAAAATATACATCATTACTGATAACATTTTGTATTACAAAATCAATCTGGGGAATAGACAATATTAAATATAGACTACACTGAGAGACAACTTTATTTCATGATAATAAAAGTTTATTAGTATTTATTAAACCGTTTATTTAGCTCGTCCCCAAATAATTTTTCTCACGGTTAATAAAAAGTGAATAAAAAATGTTATGCAAACATTTTGAGAACAATTAAACAGCTATTCAGAACCTGAAATTTAGTTAGGAAAGCTGAACGATTTGAAATCTAGAAAATCAAATAAACACTAATATCAAGTTTGTAGAGGAATGTAATGTGAATATTAGTTTGAAGATTTAAAATAATACCGGCCAAGTACGAGTTGGAGTCGCGCATGAAGGTTTCCGCACCATCTCACAAGATTAAATACTTTATTAAGATCGAGCAAAAGAATTAAAAAAAAAACGCGTTTCTAGTAGGGGTGTCTCTTTCAATTTATTTTTATTATCTGTTGTTATAGTAGCAACAGAAATACAAATTCTGTGAAAATTTTAACTGCCTACCTATTACGGATCATGAGATACAGCCCGCTGACAGACAGATGGACGGACGAACGGACAGCGGAGGCTTATTAATAGGGTCCCGTTGGTTACCTTTTGGGTACGGAATTTAGATGGAAAAGTCAGCTAGTTTATTGAATGGCATATTGGATAGAAATTTAGATATTTTATGTAGAGTTAAATGATTATGTTAGAATTGTGAAATAAAGGACAAACATTTTATAATAAATTAGAAAAAAAAAGCCGTAAAAAGTAACAGGAAGGTGAGCTCAGCAGAAGCTAAAAATCAGAACAGGAAAATAGTAGCGAATAACGGACCAGATAAGCAAAGTGAGAATACACAACCAGGGAGAGGAGCAGAGTAGCTGGAGCACCAAAAAAGAAAATCCCATCATTTCGTTTTGTTCCAATAAATTTTTTTTACTGTTCAAATTATTTTTTTTGTAAAATTTTAAATGATTTTGTAGATTTGAAATGCTTTCACGCGAAGTCGCAATTACAACAGGCGCATCTACCACGAACCCGCGGGCCTTAAATCCAACCCATCCTCCGTGCGTGTACATTCTTTGAGCAGAACCATCCGCCGTATAGTCCGAATTTGGTTCCTTTTGACTTTTTGTTTCAATAAATTTGAAAAAGCTCTACATGGCCAACATGAATAAATATTTTCTGTGGAATAAAGTTTTTATAGCATAGGTGGCGCAAGTGGGTTGAAGTAAAGATTTATTTTGAAAAATAAAGTGTTTTTTTGATTTATTTTTCCTAGATTCTCTCGTATATAAAATATTATAGAAAAGGAGTCGCAAATTTTTATTTAGATACCAAGTAAAAGCGGATACCGGACCTAAATGAATATTTTTACAGTAACTGTGGGTACTGGGGCTTAACATATATTTACGATTCATTTTTAATTCCTTGTAGTTTTAAAGACTTTCTTAATGGATTAAAAAATGCGAATTCATAAGAATTTTGTTTACAAATAGGTAAACTGAAATAATACTTTCTATATAACGTTACTTTTCTATGTAACGTCGAAAAAGAATACTGAGAAAATTTGAGTAAACCACAAAGGTATAGGTACACAAATAAAATAATACAAAGATAAAGTCAGTTTGTAAAATTACCTTAACAGAGTTTTTTGTTCGATGCAGTTATTCAAATGAATAAACAGAGCGAAATTCCTATGGAATGTGAAAAGGCAGATGATAATCCGTTTCACTGTATTAAATGAACACTCTGCATCGCAACTATCGTAATCTCTGCATTTGGTACACGCAGGTACAGGTAGCACTTTCACCGTGCACTTTACTTTGGTACTGCCAACAACTACGAACTCCACGCGACCGTCTACGCCTCAACACAACAGTTAAAACAGTACTTACCTACCGATTGCTAGCGGTACCTATCTCTATTCAATTTCGGTACCAGCTTATAGTCTATGGGTCACCGGATGCACATTCTCTTCCCGCTCTTCCTATGCTTAAGAGAAACATTTACACTTAAGACAAACTAAAAGACCTGCAAGGCGTCGGTGGTTTACGAGGTATAAACATTACAACTGAAGGGTGGAGCCTAAATACTACAAAACTACTTACGAGACTAAATTTAATCTGCCTTCATTCATAATTTTAACACATACGGCCTGGAGCCATTGCGTAACATTACACTATCGAAGTACGAGAGTTTTTTGGATATTTCCTGTTCGTTGAATAGTCAGACGAGGCTCAATGATAGGGTGGTCACCTAAGTTGACAGATTTAACCTTGCTAGACTTCTTTTCATGAGGGAAAATTTATGCAACGCAGCCACAATTTGTATATGAAAATACATTTAAAAAATATTATATTCCTTTGGTTCCTGATGACATTCTAGGAATTTTAGAAGCAACAGTAAATACTACAGACTTGTCTAAAAGTCTAAAGAAGAACATACAACGCCTGAAATTTTATAAAAAGTGAATCTACAGCTAGGTACATGGAATGTCTGTATTAAAAAACAACATCAGATTCAAGCAGTTCATTATCATTAACAGGCTTGTTGTGCCTGAAACTGTAATCATAAGATCAAGTACAAACCTAGAAGAAAACTTGAGAGAAATCACAGAAGATGGCCTTGAGCATACATCAGAATATCTTGCTAAACAACATGAGTTGTTTTTTATAAAATATGCATACCTAACTTGGAAATCCATAATCAAGCATAAAATTTGTAAAATTCAAAAAAATTTCAATACACTAACTTTGGTTTTTTTATTTAAAACAACAAAGTAAGACAAAATTATCTAAAAATAAGTGCAATTATTTAAACTTAAAGGATAGTTTTTAATTTCTATATCATTTCCTTTAATAACAGTTAAACAAGTAGATCGATCTCTTTTTTATTCAATATTGTGGAAAAGTAAAATCTTTTTGTATAAAAATATAATTTATCCTCTTTTAATAAATTGTCATATCTTCGTATTGGTGGTGAAAAGAGCTAAGCCACATTTTTAAGCAAAATGAGTTAATTATATCACATAAATAAAACAATTTTGAAAAATACAGTGGTGAAGAGAGATAAGCGATTATGTATTTATAACCTTAAAATCCCACAAACTGAAAGAAGCTAAGTGAAAATACATATATCTTTTTCTGGTAAAGTATCTTTAAGCGGTATACATTTTAAATGGTAAAACTTTAAATTTAATTAGAAAGTACTTAAAATTGATATTAAGAGCTTAAACTTCTATATGTAGATTATTATTTTTCTTGAGTACCAAAAAAAAAATTTTGCGGAAATAAATCACCCTAGTGTTAATACTTTTTGATGTTCTTTAACCAAATAATAAATTTATTTGTAAAACTTGATTTTATTCTTTTGTACAGACTTTTTAAAATCACTCGTTATTCTGCCCCCACCCTGTATTATATTTATATTTATTTTCTAACATCTTTGATTAAAATGTTCAAAAAATTAATGGTCAGTCATTTTTAAAAATAATAATATAGTCAAAATTAGAAAAAATGTAACACGTTGCAAAATACCATTTTGTAACTAGTTACATAAAACTAGCTATTATAGCTCTTATCCAGTTTTTCCTAGCCACATCTCGCGCGCTTACACTCGCGTCAACGGTATATAGTATTTGGGTTTTATCTTTACGCTTTCTTTACAATTAATTTTAAAGGAATCCTCCTCCATCCAGCAAAGCGACTTGTCATGCATATATTACCAAAATCTCACTACGCATGCATACATTTTAACAACCCTATACGCTCCCGCCAATGGCATAATTTTCCTGTAATACTGATTATAAATAAGTATATTATGTGATAAAAATGAAAGAAAATGATTGCGAAATTAAAGGAAAGTGCGTAATCAAAAATCGGACCCGATGCATTTGGACTCTCTGTATAAAATTGTATTTTTCAATATCGATTGGAGGGTCGCGGTTGCGCGTTGCCGCCCAATTCTCCAAACGAATACAAAATAGAATCGGCCGATTCGACACTCGGGGTGTGTACTACGGCCAAAAGTTAAAATCCGAACCGGGTCCAAATTGTGACTTAAAAGTCATTAAGCACAAAATTAAATCGACCACGAGGTTATCATGTGAAATCGGTGATAAATTGTTCGTTTAACAGCTCTCCCCAAGTTAGTAACAAATGCCGATTATAATTACAAAATGCAGAACTATTCACTAGTCAACAGATTGACCTAGTAGGTGGCTAGTGCTGGTATGAACATGTTGCGTGAAAATCATAATGTAATGCCGAATCCGTACCCCTACAAAAAAACTCTGCTGCTACTCCTTCTATTTCTTACACAAATCATGAGAGTTTATCCAGAACAGGACGAAGACATACCTCATAACGAGTAAGTTGAACTCTTATAGGTAGATAGATTTTAGACATCTTTACATTTTCTATCTTATAAATAACGTAAATGTACCTATTTTAACAGACAAATCTCTTGATTTTTTTATTTTCAAATCTAAATTTCATCAATAACTATTCTTATTCTAATACCGCAAGTAGATTGGCGTTTAAATAAAAATAATAATACCTACTTTATCGACCTCTTCAATGTCATAATTTACTTAGGTACATACCTATTTATTTAGCATTTCTTCATTTTTTCTAAATTCAAATGTCGAAATAATATTAATTATGATAACAAACATTCGATTAACCAGGCTACCGCGTGTATTTTTTTATAATAATTGGAATATAAAAAAGCATACTACTAAATTTATGTATTTTGTAATTTTCTAAATTATTGTTTATAGTTACAAAATTTTTTATAATTATATTTCAAATTTGATAAATAGTGTAATTTTTTGTATCGTAATCGTATTGATATAGACAATCATTACACCAAATCAAAAATAAAATTGTTCAATTATAAATATTTTCCTTATAAGTATTTTTTATTTTTTATGTAAAATGTGTCAATATATTATTATTAATTATTGAATTTATCAGAAAGTGTTGACTAAAATTCTCCACGTGTTTGAATAGATAGATTTTAAGCTCTTTAAAATGAGGTATTAAATGACCCCAAAGGAATTATAAAATTTTCACTCATTCCTTTATTAAATTAGAAATTACCTGTTGGATTATTCAGTGTTTTACTGTTTTATTCCACGTATTTGAATTTTGCATGTTTAAAAAATGAAAAAAAAATTATTTTAATACTTCTGCAATCTGTTTTGTTTTGACTTGTTTTATTTTAATTTTATTGATACATTTTGTTTGTTACTATAATTTTATATTTAGTGTGAATAACCTTAAAAGCTCTTTTTCTAAATTTCTATAATAAATTATTGTAGTCTCCTAGATGATACAACAAAAGCCATATTATTTCTGAAATGAGGTGTGATATCAACATGTCACAAAAAGCACGATAAAATCATTTCAAATATAGTGTATTTTTGTGGAATCTGTCTATACCTACGTAAAAATTAGACAATGTCCTTAATATTTTGAATTTCTCCAAATTATTTTCTGAAAAAAGTTTTAAATGGCTATTTAATGAACCAGACCTATCGTCAATAGAATTTTTTATGGGCTATTAATTAGTGTAAAGCATTAGAATAGTATGTAGAATATCCTTGCTAAAACACTTTTAAAGGAAGGGAAGAAAGAAAAAAAAATAAAGATATCAAGCATTTCCAAACTATTTTTAGTAGTATCTTAAATGCTACTACCCAAAACGTTATGTTTTTTTGTCATTTTGATTGTGTCACCATTCCATAGTTTTTCTATACTTACCAATAATTACTTAAAAAAACGAAAGTTAATGTACACGGAAAAAAAATTGTAGAAAAAATTTCTACAATTGTAGATTTTTTCTCTACAATAAATAGTACATATAGGGACAGGGACAATTTGTAGTAAAAATTTCCAAATATTTGTGGAGAATGTATTGTAGAGTTATTATCTACAATATTTAGGAAAAATATCCAAATGCATCATAAGAATTGTTCTACAAATTGTTATAATTTTTGCTATTCATTGTATGAATTTATATTAAAAATGTATTGCGTTTTATGAAAATAAATACGAAAATTTTACACAATAAATAGTAAAAATTCATACAAATTGTAGTAATTTTTAATAAAATTTGTAGTAGTATTCCATAATTATTATAATTATAACCTAGAAAAAAATGTTCCTTAATAAAATATTCAATTTATTGTTTTAATATAAAAGATACAAATTCTTAATTACATTATGTAATAAATAACAGTAATAATAGCGCCCTCAGTCTCAGTTGGCTTTTCTGCACCTGAAAAATATGAAATAAAAATTAATACCAATTGAACGGTTCATACCCTTAAAACGGGGATATTTATCACCTTTACACTGATTTGGATATTAAATGACTAAGTCAGATAACTAACAAAAATGAGAAAGTAGGTACGTCACAATTAAGACAAAAAAATATCATTGAACTTGGCACAAAATTCGATTGTTGGGCACAACATTCGATCGTTGGCCACAACTATATTTTTTAAATAATCTACTAAGGTTATTTAAATTAGTTATCTAAAGGTAAATTATTCAGAAACAATATTAAATGTACTTACCACCAATAGAATTTATTATTAAAATTTTCTCAAACGCATCGGTGCTTATAATATAATAATGTGTTATAGGTACTCGTATATGTACCATGCTTTGTTATGTGAACATGGCGAACGGCTACTGCTGTCTGGCCGTTTATGATCGACGTCAGAAAACGTTGGCCAATAGCAGAACTTTGTTTTGTTCACATGACTAAGAATTTCTACAATATTGTAGAATATTTTTCAACAAAATTGAATGTTTATTATAAGAAGGGATGTAAAGTATTACTATTTTTTTTAGAGAAAATTTCTATTTTTTGTGGAGATAATTATTAATATTTGTACAAATTTTTACAGAAGTTAGTAGTAGTAATTACGATAATTGTAATAAATTTCTACTTCTACAAACAATAGTAAAATTTACTAAACATTGTGGACTTCTTTCCTATTGTTGTAGCATTTTATTCGACAATTCAATTGCTACAATAATTAATAGTTTTTAACTATAAATTGTAGTAAATTTTTCTACAAATTGTTAAGTATTTTTCTACAAGTCTACTACTACAACATTGTAGTAAAATTTTCTAGTCACATTTTTTTCCGTGTATCTATGCTAAAATTGGAACGCATGTAGCAGTTAAGTAAAAAAGTATTTGCATAAACAATAATAAATAATTAACGGGTCTATTATTTTTGCTTATGTAAGCAATGTATGTAGTATGTATAAATATATAATATTTACTCTTCTAATATTTATTCCCAGATCAAAAAGAGAATAGAATAATTTACGTGTGGGACACGTGAAAGTTTTATTTTGAAACCAAATAGGTAATAGTATTACAGTGAGAGATTCCAACCAGATTAAATTTGGAATTTGCTTACATATAAGAATTTACTACATTCGTATTTTTTATAAATTGTAATATTGTTTAATGCAATTTTTCAGATATATTATATAATGAATAAATGCACTTTCAGTCAATTTATTCAAATATTTACTTAGACTAGTTAATAGATGATTCTTTTTCAATATTCAACTATAGGAATTGATAACCTAATGGTTCGTAGAATGAGATCAGGAGCATTTTGAAAAAATTAAGATAACAACTTGTTGCTTGTACATTACTACATTAATGAACTTAAATAAAACAACTTAGTAAAGATTTTTCTTTGATAAACATTTAAAATATAATTTTAAGTGATTAGTAACAAAATAAATAATATAAAAAACAATAAACAAATTATATAATCAAATAGACGGATCATATTAACACGTTAGCAGCCAAGTTTTGCAAATTATAGGTCAAGAAAATATACTGTTTGCAAAAATGATTTGGTATCATTACCTGTTTTTCAACATTTTATTAAGATAAGTTACTGCTTTTTCTAAAAAACATTCAGATATTAAATAAAGCCTGTAATTTTAAATGCAACACATGAATTCAGTTTTCAATCATTATACAAAAATAAATAAATAATCTTTGTATATACTAGCTTGTTTAAATTGTCACAATTTCTTAATAGAAATATAATTTCAGGGTAAAAAATTGGGCCTTACAATTTGGTGTCGACTTATGGGAATATGGTAAACTTATGACACGTATGAATGAACTGCAAAGGGTAAGTACTCTTTGTTTTAAGTAGAAAAACTATATACTGCTCAATAACTGAACCGGATGATTTTAATTGCCTCGGGCACCTCACCACTTTATCGTGAATCTTACTAATTATCACTGCCAGGGGCGACAAGAGGGGGGGGGTCAGCCGGGACCAATTCCCGGGGCCCGAGCTCAAATGGGGGCCCGGGCTCAAATGGGGGCCCGGCAGCGGTATAAGGGGGCCTGGCAACTGAGGCGAGGATTTTTTTTTAGAGAAATTCAAGTAGAGGAGGAGAAATTTTTGCTTGAAGACCTTTTTTTTTATTTTTTATAAAAATGTCGCGGGGTCCGATCTGGAGAATTGCCCTGGGGTCCGACCTGGCTCTCGGCGGTCGTGATCACTGCACAACAGCATTTCTGATGATTGAGTTTATATTACATGACACTAGCTCAATTTTTAATGGAGACTTCAAATTTGTAATCTAAATTACTGTATTAGCTCTAATTTAGAAAATATGACACATGGCCGTTTCATAGTAAAACACAATTTGTTTAAAGTTAGTTCTTAAGGTCAAAAAAACATTCTTTTATAAGACTTCCTTGCAGAGGTTGAACCCATAGAACTGTTCTGAATGCTCCAACAATAGTCAGCCATCATGTGTGCGTTCCAGTAGCCTTGATACCGTGTTCCTCCATCGTACAAAGGTCCTGGTGGAATCGGGCACCGTGTTCTACACTTAGATCCCCAAGATTAGCGGGAAATAATCTAGGTGGTTGTGAAGAAAGTGCAACTTGATGCTCATGTTACATCCAAGAATTTGAAAGTGACTCATTAGTTGTTCAACGTGTTGAGAATAGTTAGAACTTTTCTTATTCCCCAAAAAATGTAGAACAAGCCAAACAAACTCATTCCATACGTTTTTCTTAATTTCTGTCATAGTGTCCGTAAATTTTGTGTCTTTTATTAATGATCTTATCTGTGGCCCATCGAAAATGCCCGCTTTTATCTTTTCTACACTCAGTTTCGGGAATTTTTTTGATAAAAATAGAAAACAATTTCCAGTTTTGTTAAGACCTTTGACAAACTGTTTTATAAGCCCTAATTTTATATGCAATGGAGGCAAAATTATACGATCTCTTGAAACTAAAGGTGGATTTATCACGTTTTTTTGTCCTGGAACTAGATCTTTCCGAGTAGGCCAATTCTTTTTAACCCAATGTTGATTTTTAGCTCTACTATCCCACAAGCAAAGAAAACAAGGATACTTTGTGTAACCACCTTGCTGGCCTAATAGAAAGTTGACCATTTTTAAATCAACACATATTATCCAGTTATATTCCACATATTTAATTTTGTCCAAAACCAGAGCAATAGTTGTATATTCTTCTTTTACTTTTGAAGAATGTGCACTAGGCAACGACCCTAATTTATTCCCATTGTGTAAGAGAACACATTTTAGATTCCGTTTTGACGAGTCTGTGAATAAACGCCACTCACTAGAAAAATAATTTTGTAATCTCATTGTAGCCATTAATCCAGGTACATCTTTACGAAATACGAAATTGTCATCTTCAGCAAAATATTTGTGGAAATTCTGTTCTCTTGTGCGGTAATAAGAAATTTTAGTTTCTTTCGTTGCCAATTTTCTTTCTTTTAGCCTTGAAGCCAACATTTCTGAAGGTGACTTTGACAGTCCCAGATCTCTAATTAAGTCGTTTAAATCTTCTTGATTGAATGGTTTTGGCGTTCATAGGTCGCATTCAAAGTCACTATCACTACTGTCGTTTTTCGTCTCAAAATCTTCTGGCTCTTCCTGTAAAGTACCAGATTGAGGTTCAGGTGTAGACTTAGGGCTCAGGACACGTCTATGTGCCGATTGCACAAAAAAAAATAACAATCGTCATGGTGGTTCATGGGTTCATTCCAAATCATAGCGGTTTTGTACCTGAAGCTGTCTTTTATTTGTGCATAAATGTAGGAACTCAACGCATGTTTGGCATACCTTTTGAGGAATCCAAGGCTTATTCTTCATTTCCAGCGGGTGCCCAAAGTAATTTTTGTAAGCCTCATTCACGAACGTTGTCAAATTTAAACGGTATTCTTTAAATATATACTCTCGCACATGAAACAAAAATTGTTTGAATCATTCACACATACTCTTCTTGACGATGCCATATCAAATTACAAAATAAAACAATAATTCAAGCAAGAAAGATAATTTCACTATTGTCTTACTAAACCTTCCCCTAAAATAATTAAAGATAATTTCTTAAGATTTCTTTAAAGAGTCCGCGGTCGTACAACAGAGGGGTCGTTAAAGAGGATTATAAATTAATGGTATTTCCAAATAAAATTAAATATGTATAATAATTCAATAATTATTATTAAATAAACAGCAAATAAACACTATAATACAGCGAATTTTTAGTGGAAGCTATAACTCCTAAACAAGAGCTGTCAGAAAAAAAGTGGGGGTATATTTAGAATCAGCGACTTAAAATTAGTAAACATCATGTGACACAAGTTATTCATCAGTCAAAAAGTGTAATTTTGTTGAAGCAATAAGCTAAGTCTTCAGCAAAGCAACCACAAAAGATCCAAAAGAAGAAAGAAGGATCTGCTGGAGGAAAAACAAAGAAGTGATCGTAAGGAAAAGTCCGAGACAAGTTCTTTGAGATAAAGCAACTTATGATAAACTTTAGAAAGAAGTTCCATCTCACAAATTGATCACTCCTTTTGTTGTTTCTGAACGCTTAAAAGTTCGTGGTTCTGTAGCAAGAAGAGAATTTGTTCAACTTCAACAAAAAGGTCTTATCAAACAAGTTGTACAACATAGATCTCAACTTATTTATACTTCGACTACCAAATGCGATGATCCAGCAGCTTAGATAATAAGATAAACTATCTTCATAAAAAAATTAAATAAAAAAATGTAAAATAGAGTAACATTGAGACAAGCCAGCAGTGTCGCTACACGAAATTATTTTTTAACAATTTTCTGCATTTCGTAATAAATTAACTTTATAGTTTATTTTTTTCTATTTTTACTTTATTTTTCCTACTTAACTTTTCCATTGAATATTAGTTTAGTTTTTATTTCTTTGGTGCCATCATGACATTAATTAACAAACTTTAATTATACAGGGTGTTTCAAAAAAAACGTGTACCATTGCATAAGGTGAATCCTTATCTTATCCAAATATAAGACAATTACTTTCTATTCACATGGGTTCGCAGATGCTCTGTTTCAAAGATACAGGGTGTTATATTTTTGAATTTTTTCCTTTTTTTTTTTTTAAATAATTCTGAAACGACTTTAACGATTTGAATGAAATTTGGTTATCAAAATGTATCTAATAAAGTACAATCTATTTTAGCAAGGCGTGCGAACGGGCGCTTTTATATTTTTGATAGCACTATTAGTTAAATGACCAATAAAAAGCACTTACTAATAATTTTGGATTTCGACTTCGTTTAGGACATGCAATTTTATCAAACTCTGTTAAAACGAAGCTTAATATAAATTCATACAAATATTAAGTAGCTAGTGTCATCTTTAATGATTTGTTATAATTTTCGATACTATTAATTGTGGTCCAGATTTCCCGGTTTCGGAAACACTAAAAAACCCAAAAATTTTGTATCTTTTAAATAAAGTATCTACGGACCCATATTGATAGGGACTATTTGTCTTATTTATGGGTAAGGAATAACTCCACAAGCGATGATACATGTTTTTTGAAGCACCCTGTATATCATTAAAGTTTTTGATATCAAATATTTAGACAGAAAATTTTGAATTTATTGAAATAGTCACTTTAATTGTTTAGCAGTATATTTTATTTACTTGGTTTTTCGCAGCAGAAAAAGAATTTCCAAATTAATTTTAAAATTTTTATGTATTTATTTTAGAAATATCATGATGTTGATATGGATGTTGTGAGAAAAGACGGACTAATTCTAATTAGAGAAATGGCAACGGAAGTCAAAAATATGATGGATTTTAAAATGAGCGCAGTCATGGTAAATAAAATTGTTAACACATGCAATGTGGTCAGAAGGAAACGTACCAGTAGCAGGAACAGCGTCAACAAATTGTATTGGTTAGAGTGACAGTTGAGGATATGATAGAAATATGTCCCCCTCTAAAAAGTTCCTGATAATGGCGTTGTTACGTTTTCGTCTGGCCACCCTCTTTATCAACTACAAAATTTTAAAATGCGTTTTTAGAGGATAATGGATTCTGCGGAGCAAGCAGCTTTGACTCCTCGATCTGACAACGGTCAGCCATTTCGTTTTTATAATGCTAAAAGATTAAACGCTTTCGGAGACGATGGAAGACCAGCTGGTGGTACACGAGAAATGATCCTTACACCAAATCCGCATTTTGATCATTTGCCAGTCAATACAACGCTCAGTACGATCTTAATGCCCAATGATGTAGTAGAAGCTGGTGAGTATATCAAATTAAATCATAAATGACCTTTTTTAAATATTTTTAAAATATCATGTTATTAGAATCTCAGTGGGGCATTAAAAATATTGTGTTAATATTTTAGATGGAGACGTTATGAATGCTATTCAATGGTCGGAAAATTTAGATCCATTATTTATAAACAATTATGAAGGAGACCCTTCACTGTCTTGGCAATTTTTTGGTAGCTCAAGTGGTTTCTTAAGAAGATATCCAGGTGAGAAGATGCAGACGGTTTATCATCGAAAACATCTCAAATATAATGCGTCTTATTTTTCAGGAATTGCCTGGCCTCCAGACGATACAATTTCAACCGTCTGGCAGAGACCGAGGGCTAATAGGAATGTGTACGATTTCCGCTCATCCTCGTGGTACGTCAATGCTGCCACTTCTCCCAAAGATATAGTAATACTAGTAGACAATTCTGGATCTATGACAGGGCATAGGGCCAATTTGGCCAGAGCCACTGCAGAAGCAATTCTCGACACCTTGTCTGATAACGATTTTGTAAACATATACGCATTTTCCGATACCACGCAAGAATCTGTGCCTTGTTTTAAGGATCAATTAGCTCAGGTAAGTTCAGTTCACCAAACTAATTACTCAAAATAATTAACACAATAATATTTTAAGGATGGGAGAGAAAATCGGTTAATGATCAGAAAATGAAAGTATGAAATTTGTAAATATGAAAAAGAATGCCCATTTCCCATTACGAAATTAAGAGGTCCTTTAATTGGGGTGTTCTTTTTCATTTATTATTTTGTTTATACTGTTAGCTACATGAAATTTTGAAGCTCAACAATGCTTAAATGTCTTTTTCAAAAGGTTATTTTTGTAGTGTTTCTTACCCAATTTGTCAAAAAACGAACATTTATGGAATCACCTTGGTGTCTGTCTGTCTCCTTTTATTTAAATGGTTTGAAAAAGCTTTATGTCCATCTAATGTTCTCGAGCTACCCTAATAAATTGCAACCATTACATAGTGTGGAGATTCTCCCAGTTTCTCTTGATCACTAAAAAAACATTTTACTTCCCCTAAAGGCTACTCTGGGACCTCCTTGTGGGCATTACTTCGGAGCGGGTCTGGTCTCTTTGCTGGAGTCTACTATGCGTGGTTTTCGTCTCTTGTTCCATGTTTCCATGAAGCCTCTGGATGTTTTTAGTCATTTTGTGGACTATCTACCCTATTTGGTTTTGTTTTCCAGCGTAATCCCTATTATATTGTCCACGCTGAGAAAATGGTTGGCTGTAGATACTTCTCAGTGTCAACCAGCAGGTTTCTGTGGATTTGATAACCTGAAGGACTTTGATGAGCTGGGAAGATGGAAGTCTCTTGAAACCTTTCAGGGTCAACCAGCAGGTTTTGACAAGTTAAGAGGCAGGTTCTATATGCCCCTGGAGGAAGCCCAATGGGTGCTGTGGAGAAACCCACCCTCCCCACATTACAGATACATATTATTCACAGTAAGGCTATATATTTATGTAGCTTGTCTGTAGTCTGTGTCTCTTTAATACAGGCATGTATCATCGGTTATTATTTTAAACTTCTGGAGATAGTTTCGGAAGCTACGATGTCCTATTAGACAGTGTGTTACTCGGTGTTTATAATTCCTGCAGCTATCTGTAACCTGTATTATAATAATGTATGCTACTGAAATTAATATACCTACTCTAATTACAGGCCAATAATGAAAATATAAAATATCTCAAAGATTCCCTTGGTACTTTGAAACCAGAAAACATAGCCAATTTCACGTCTGCATTAGTAACTGCCTTTGAAATCTTACAAAAGGTACGTACTCATTACTCATTATAAAATAATAAATATATGTAGGAGAGAGTGGGGCAAAATAAAAATTGCTTCACGCTTTATCTCCTTTTGCGATTATTTAAAATGTAAAAATGTTTTATTGTTTCGATTGCAGTACAACAGATCGGGACAGGGTTGTCAATGTAATCAAGCGATAATGCTCATCACCGATGGTCCGCCGTCAACATATAAAGAAATTTTCAAAATGTATAACTTTCCTCATAGTCCAGTTCGAATGTTTACATATCTCATTGGTAGAGACTCGAGTAGTGCCACTCAAATGCACTGGATGGCTTGCGCGCACAAAGGTATACAATTGTTTTATAATTTTATAAAATAAATGTTAAACATAATGTTGTCTTTTCAGGATATTACGCAAGGATAGAACACTATGAGGAAATAAAAGAAAAAGTGTTGCATTATATCGAGGTAATGGCTAGGCCGATGGTAATGTATCAAAATGACCATCCAATTTACTGGACGCCGGCATACGTTGGAGGAAGGGTACGTTTTATTTATTTATACCGTTTGTATCCTATCTTTAAGAGAGAAAGCAATACGTGCTTGTCAATGGTTTTAAGTTTCTCGAATACCCAGATTATCCGGAGTCCCTCAAGGGTCAGTTCATGGCCCCTTTGTAATTCAATGTATTTTTTATCGGCAATTTGGATGTGATTGCATTCTTTATACAGATCTCTAATCTTGATGATTGTGATCGTTTTTATCAAACTTATTACATGTTAATTAGTAGTACAATATTAACAATGTATCTCTTAATGTAACGTTATGTCTTTTTCCATTAGTCTAACCCATTTTATTTAATTATGAAATAAATAAGATTAGTCTTCAACGTGCACATGCTCTTGTTGATTTTGGAATCACTATTGATCCAATATTGCATTTAAAATGTACGGTTTCATTGTAAAAATTGGTAGATAATTATATATTATCGCCCTCCCGGGCAGATTTTTTCAATTTTTCATTAAATTTGTTATCCCCTTGTGGGTTCAAAAATATTCTTCATTATTTCGTAGGAGTAATATTGAGATTTGTTCGGGAATTTCTTAGGAACTTAATTTCATGGGAATGGGATACTACTTTCGGCCTCTATGTGCCATCATCAATCCTGAAAATGTGGATTAAAATATATACAAGTTACAAATGAGCATAAAACAAAACTCCAATATCATAAATTTAAGAAAATTCAAATCCTTTTCATCCATAATTGTAAATTGTTTATAATAAAAATCCAAAATAAACAAATGGTTAATCCAACCATGGGAACATGAAGCGATGAGTGTAAATAGTGGAGGGGGGAAGTAGAAGAGTGGAAACTGAGGTAATCCGAGTTAGGTGAAGAAAAAGTAGGAAACAGGGGCGTATACGGGGGGTAATGGGGGTAATTACCCCCAAGCATTTTTAAACCTACCTTTTATAGATACTAAAATGTATTATAATCAGTATTAAAGTCTTAAATATTACCACCTAGACTTACGACTTACTCTGAATGCGCCATTTGTAAGAAAAGAGTGTAATCATACTTTTTTGTAAATTGGTTCACCTGTATAATATTGTAACTAAATAAATTAAATGTTACAATTGATTAAAATTATTTATGTCCTTTTTAGGCGGATAGCTTTTCAGATGATAAACGTGGTCAGCTAATGACAACTGTCACGACTCCAGTGTTTGATCGAAGGAATCATTCTGTAAGTTTATTTTTTTTTAAGAAGATTACGGGATATAACAGCGTTTGCTATTTCATTACGTTACAATGAAGATTTACTGTGGTGGTTGTATAGGTTGTAGATAAAATAAATTTTTGAATACACCATACGATTTTTTTATGTATCTGTATTTGATTGTAGATTCGAGTGGCAAACGTATTGGGAGTCGTAGGAACAGATGTTTCTATTGATCAAATCAAAAAACTGGTGCCCTCATATAAAGTGAGTAAAAATTTAAGAAAAAAAAAGCTTCACTAGTAACTCTAACATAATCTTTAATTACAGTTGGGAGTAAATGGTTATTCGTTTATTGTGAGTAACAATGGACATGTGCTGTATCATCCAGATCTAAGACCTCTAGTAAGTTACCTTATTCCTTTGTTAAATATTACAATGTTTTGATTGATTGATTTATTTCAGGAAGGCAATGATCTTTACGAAGATACTCTAGAGCCAAAATATATTTCTGCTGATTTAACTGAAGTTGAATTAGTTGAAAACGAAACTGGTCCAAGAGAAAATCACACTCTTCTCTTAGATGTAAGGCAAACGTTTTAAATGATATATCTTGAAATGTTGAGTAATTTTTCGTTTTCGATTACAGCTTAGGCACGATATGATAGATCAAAAGGAAGGTGAAACTGAGATCACTATAAAAGTTCATTATGACAATATGGTAAATTTATTTTAAGGGATAATAATAATTATTATAATACTAAAACATGATATTTTAGAGACGAGTTACGACTAGGAGAAATAAATATTTTTATAATCCCATTGAGGGTACACCATTTTCGTTGGGCCTAGCCATTCCTGAAGGATATGGAATGTATGAGCTGCTTGCTGAACAAGAAATAAAACACAGTCAGAAAAATGGTACGTTAATTCTAATATTTACAATTTTTCAAAATGAAATAATATATCGTTATTGTTTACAGTGAGCGATTATTTCAAAGGAAATAATTGGAGAGTGCATCCTGACTGGTAAATGAGTGACATCAGTGTAGTTTGTTAAAGGTTTAATGTACTTATTTATTTAAGGGTTTACTGTGAATATACAAGTGGAACCTCAGGGGAGCAGTGGTTCAAGACAGCAGAAGAGAGAGTATTGCACTTTCTTTTAAGAAGTCGTAGACCTGGTTGGAAGTGGATGTCTTTAAGACCTAGATCTCCATTACAAAGAGAACATCATCACATGTCTACAAAACAGGACAAGGACGCTTACTATTGTATGATTATACATTTTTTTTTATATAAACAATATCAAATAAGCATTTTTCATTTTAGGTGACAAGACTTTAATCCAATCATTAGTTTTAGACGCAATGGTGACTGAGGGATTAGAAAAACATCCTGTGCGTTCCGATAAGCAGTAAGCTCAATATCTTACTACATATGTTACACGGCATGCTTTAACTATTTAATTTTCTTGCACTTTTTTCAATATGTTTTTAACTAATTAATTCTTTGCACATTAGCCCTATTGGCAACCTTATGGTACAGTGGTATGGTACAAGGTAAAGATTTTTTCTTGAGAAAAATCATTTATATATAGCAATTACAATAATAACCGAAACTGTCTCTTAATACTCATACAGGGTGTTCCGGGTTCTGTACTACAATTAAATATTCGTTACGGGGAGGTATTGATATCTGATTAGAATTGAACCTTTTTATAATTTTTATTTATCAATACAGGATGTCCGATAAGTCATGAATCAAACAAAGTGAGGTGATGGAAGAGGTTATTTGCTATCAACATAACCAACCATGTTGGTATTTGATATTTTCCGTTTTTATCTAAAACTGCTTAATGCCTAAATAAAAAGCTCGAGAAAAAAATTGTGTGTTGTTTAGTTAATCTTTTTTATTAGTGTACATTTAAAAATGTTGAACACTTCCCATAAAAGCATCTTCTTAAAATTCGTAAGCATTTATGAAATAGAATGACTTATTTTCCACTTTATGTTTTACTAAAAATTTTATTTGATTTTGAAGGTTGGAAAATAATAAAATATCAACAAAAAAATGTGCATTTTTTGTAGATTCTAATAAAATAGTTGTTTTAAATCGTGTTTTTCTCAAATATTTCAAATATTTTTTAAATGTCATGAATTAGATAACAACAATATATGCTTTTTTGATTGCAAATGATCTGTACCTACATATCTGCATTAAAAGAATCGTCAAACTTTTCATATTTTCTACATTTATACATAGGGAATTATCAGCTACCCTAGAAGATTTAGGTGTGTTTTAAGACCTAGAGTCATAAATATTATGGTCATAGCATAGATAAATTAATATATTATTAGTTTATCTATGGGCCATAGTCAGTCATATTATTTTCTACTAAAGTTGCATATACGGAGGTATGAGGAGTACTCAGGGCCGTATTCAGAACAGATTACAGAATTTGAAGAACCAGCGTAAATTTTTTTGAGCCTTTCCTTTAACCACTAGACACGTACATGTTTTAGTTCTTTCAAATTGTGGGAATCCGACTGCAAAGCTTCCTGATATTCAAATGATCGTGCAAAATCGTATGTATTTGTTTTGCCGCAATGACTCTACGATCTAACTCACTAATATGCCACATATCTTCTGATAGTCATTTCACTCACAATTTCGTTATTTTTCGCGACAACAGAGCTGCGAAGACTGTCATCAAACATTGTTCTTCTACGATTGGTAAACCATAGTTTTGGATGGTGCTTCATCTCCAAATAACGAGAATCGACAATTGAAAAATGCTGGACAATTCAAGGAGTACTCGATTTCACGAACTTTCTCAGTGCTCCTCGTAGATTCAACCAAAGTTTATGATATTCTCTATTTATAGGTTTCTTTAACAATCCTTTAACATGTTCCTATCAAATAGGTACCTACCATAACTTCTTCTTCTTCTTCTTCTTCTTCTTCTTCTTCTTAAGGGGACATGCCTAGGGGTGTATTAACGATGTGTGGGTGGACGTTAGCTGCTTCCCTATTTGAGAAAGGAAAAAAATGTCTTAAATAAAAGTTGTAGAGGTCAAAGCCATGTTTCAAACATATCTACCAATATACAAGGTATCCGATAATGTGTGACTTATCACAGTGGCGGATTTAGAAATTGTTTAGGGGGCGCTGTAACGATTTGTTGACGAGATAAACAGTCATATTTATAATTTTCGCGATTATATTTATTCAGTAAAAAACAAACTATTTTTCGACAAATTATTCATAGACAAATTATTTTTGAACAAATCATTTTTGGATAATTTAATGTTTATCTAAAATGACCAAATCAATCTTCTCTTTTTAGATAAAGGTTATTCAGCTCCCCAAATGTGGTCATCTTTGTATGAGAAATGAAACACAAAATCCGTATCACATCTGTAACGTGTGGAGGGTGGGTTACCCCCACGACACTTAGGACTCACTAGGTCCATTGTGCATCCTCCTAAGATGATAGGCACCTCCTAGCTCGTGAGCCAGCTTACAGATTTAATGTAGTTGACAACGTCGCCAAGAGGCGATTCTCTTATATCGGCCGGTGTTAGCCGATACTCGCCGAACACAAATATTCTAATAAATGAGAGCGTCGAGCAATCGTAGAGGATATGCTCAATGGTCTCATCTTCTTGTTTGCACCCTCTGCAAAGTTTGGATTCTGAGAGCTCCATGATATGGAGATGCTTCCGTACTTGGCCAGAATGCCTATGACTAGGCGCAGATTCTGTCTAGTCATAGTCAAGTATTTGTTTGCTACAGTGTTGTCAGGATAACTTAAAAGCTCCCTGGCAAGTCTGCAGTTTCTTGTTTCATCCCATCTTTCGTTGAATTTCACAAGGGAATGTTCTTTAATTAGGTCTGTCACTACCGATTTTGTCAGGCTAATAGAAGGGCCAGGTCCAAAAAGTATTTGGTTGGCTGCTTTCTTGGCTAGTGAATCAGCAAGACGGTTACCTTTCAATGTGGCGTGACCTTTGATCCATCTTAAGGTGATCACATTGTTGATGGATACTACGGCCAAAACTTCGTGACATTCTAGTATTAACCCTGAATAAATTCGTGGTCTGTTCAGGGTGAGTACTGCTTGTCTGCTATCTGTATAGATGAGCATGTTCCTTCCAGTGATATTATTTCTGGTGATTTCTTTTGCTGCAATGAGAATCCCCGTGAGCTCTGTTTGAACTACACTGGCACTATTGCCTTCATGGAAAGCTATGTCAGACGTATCACACACTACAAAATATTTTTTTAAAAAACAATTGGCAAACGGTTTTGTGTTTATTTTCATACTTGTATTTTTATTTGAAAATCGATTGATAATTTCGTGTATATCTAAATCTATATTTTATGCACACATAATAAAACTAAAACGGTTGAGGCTGTCTTCTAGCATGGTAGATCTTAGATAAGTTTTTAAAAACATTAGAGTATAACCTTCTGCAGTTTCAATAGAAATAGTTAACGTACAAAGAATTTTAAGACATAAATATTTGGAAAATAATCACGAGTCGCAATTTTGGAGACGTAAAATCTATTTAGACAAAATGCTACTTTTCTTTACTCAAAAAAGCTCAAGGGGGCCCCGCGCCCTCTCCCTAAACCCGCCACTGACTTATCAAAGTTATATTTTCTTAAATGAAATACCCTATATATATTCACTTGATTGAATTCCTTCGGGAGAGTGTTTCTCAAAAATAGGGAGTTGTATGGATTTATACAGGTGGTTCGAAATTTATGGAGGGATTTGTCACAAAATGGGTTCATTCAATACCAAATATCTCAAAATCAATAATTTGATATGCTTTTAAAATGGTGTATTTTCATTTCCTATTTGTGATTTCATCTGATGGCGCTTTTCTCATACAGGGGCAACCTAAAATTCGGATAATTTTTCTGTTTTTCAAATAGAACACTCTGTAAATAAGGCCATATCAGAATAGTTCACACTATGAGCTTGCAGAAAATAATTTCCATCGAAAATATATGTAATTCTTAGGGAAAGTATTAAAGAATTTATTTATTCAATTCTGGACAAAAGATTTAACAAAATAAACTCAAACAATTTCAAAAATGGTAAATTCACGAGCGAAAAACTTCTCTAATTCAATTCTCCATGTCTTCTGGCCTAGTTGGTTTCTCACGGTAGACCTGTCTTTTAACATATCCACAGAGATAAAAATCTAGGGCAGTAAGGTTTGAGAACTTTGATGCCCACTGAATAATGGATGGGTCCGTTTGTACCTACTCATTTATTTCTGCGCCATCTATTTAAAAACCTTCTTCCCAGATTTTTATTAGGTACCAACACGTTGGTAATGTATCCGGTGTTTGATGTCTATTGATACATCCCTTAACAAATTTGAAAAATTATCTCGAAGAAAATATATGTACATTTCTCCATTTAGTATACCATCAAATAAATATGGTCCTATGACCTGATCCCCAATTATGCCCTCCCAAACATTTATCGACCTTCTATTTTGGTTATCAACTTCTCTGACCTAATGGGGATTCGTCGAGTAATAGTGGCAATTGTGTTTATTTGATATTTCATTACTTTTAAATGTGGATTCTTTAGAGTGATAATGCAATTTAAACTTATATAATTTATTCCGCGACTGGCTGAATGGCAAGTGCCCAAGCCAAAAAAAAAAAAAAAAAAAAAAATGTGGATTCGTCACTAAACAAAAGATATTGCTCTCTATAATTTCTATATGAGACATTTCCTATATCAAATAGGGAAGCAACTTTTATACACATGTGCAGTTTAGTTTCTTTTTAAATTCAAAATTGGGCACATGGACTGATTGTTAATAATTTCTAAATTTTTCATATAAAAAAATTGAACGCTGCTTCAAATCATAAAATGTAATGTTTTCTATGTTCGGCTAAGAACTTATCAATGCGCCGTCGTATTAGAAGAATTTTCAAATGTATTTCTAATTCGAATTTTGCTGATTGAAAAAATCTAATCATTATATTTTTCTGTATATTTTGTAAATGGAACACCCTGTATTTTATTACGATATATTGAGAAAGAAATATACAAATGAAATTCAATATTTAATTACCAGATATAGAAAAGATATGAAAGTAATTTTTATAAGAATAGAAAATGTTTTTTAAAGAAAAGAATAGAATGGAAATATAAAATATATTTTTAAATCTTAATATTAGAACTGCTTTAGGTACCTTTCCTATTCCTATGGTATAATTTTTTCATGTAATAAAATTGATGGTTTCTAAAGCATTATCTTTTATTGGGTTATATTATTTATATTCCCAAACATTTCTACAACAATCAATTATTTTTGAACTAAAACAGCACCCACCAAACAGTATTGAATAATTGAAACAGAAAAAAAAACACTCACCCCATATAAATGTGTAGATTATGTTTTTAAGTAAATTTAGCATACTTGGAGATAGTAAGTATATAATATGTAGTAATAATCTTTAACATAAAAAAATCGCGAATCCTTCCTTTATAATTACCTACCTACATAACAGAAGTAAGTAGATAAAACGATTTAACATATAATAATTAATAATGATTATACGACACATTTTAAAATAAATCTGTGAATATTATAAACTAGGTACTTTAAACAGATTTATCTACTTATGGATGCCAAAAAAACCTTATTATTCACATCTGTGGTTTTACAAACACCAATATTTGAAAAAAATATATTTTCTGGACAAAATCCATCAATATTTAAACGAATTTTTGTCTAATTATATAAATGACATTGTACATTTCTGTTTCATATAATAATTAACCACCCCTTCCGAGCCTTATTCGATCTGATTAATAATGGAACCATAATTTACAGCCAAGGCTATCAAATATTTGGATCGACATTGTCATTCGTTGCAACAAGAAGCGGTCTGTTGCGGTGGACAAATTTGACGGAAATCAAATCGAATGAACCGTAAGTACAAGTTATACTGTTATTATATTAATTACAAGTCCTTTATTAAACCCCATTTATTACAATTAAATTAGACCAGTAATGAACCTAATAGACAGTGTGCCACAAACAAGGAGCGACTCATTTATTGATCCTTTATGACATTTATATAACTGTATAGGACTGGTTTTATGTATTGTTGAATATATTACTCATACTGATTTAGCCCTCATAAAGTTATCTTAACCCTTGTTTTGCAAGATTATCTGCTTGTTCATTGCATTATGCTCCGCAATATGTCCTAGCAGTCATATATGTAGTCTTATTATCTGTTGGCAAGGTATTTAGAATTTGGAGGCAATGCTATTTAAGTTTGGAGTTTTCCTGGTTTAATTTTAAAGCTTTTAATGCCTCTTGGTTATCTACCAAAGTGTTTCCTATATTCTTACCTATGTTCTCGTTGTTTAACAATCAGTTCATCCTTCGCTTGTTTTCGAGTTCTAGTTAGTCCAGCATTGTTGATTCTTTAGATCAACAAAGAATGGTTTTTTTAGTTAGAAACTGGGTGTAATTTTGTCATTATTCTTCGCCCTGAGCAGAGGATCCTGAAGAGACCACGAATTTATTCAGGGTTAATACTAGAATGTCACCAAGCCTTGATCGAAGTATCTATCAACAATGTGCTGTTGTGCTGACCTTAGGATGGATTGGGGCCACGCTACAAAGGCAGCTAATCAATTACATTTTGGACCTGACTAACATCATAGGTCATGTCAAACCTAGTTAAAGAAATTCCCATGTGAAAGTCAAGGAAAGGTGAGATGAAACAAGAAGATGCATAGTAATTAACGAGCTCCAGACAAAATCTGCGTCTGATCACAGGTATTCTGACTGGTAATTATCAAATAAGGAATCACCTCCATAACATGGGACTATCAGACTCCACACTCTGTAAGGGGTGCGAACAAATCATCTATTAGTTTTATGTTCGTAAGTTACAAATACAGAGAAACATACCATTAGACAGCTCAAGACCACTCACAAGGTAATCCTGATAGATGATAAATGTTTCTGAATGACAGAACAAACCATAATTTGCTGGTTGGAGTACCTACTTAGGTTTTCTTGTATGCAGACAGATATAGTGAAAATTTCTACCTGGAAAACCGTGGCATGCTTCTCCATCTGTAGATCAACCAAGTCCTTTAAAAGTGAGAGCAACTGGACTCTTTCCAGGCGTTCCTACTCGGAATCTCCACTTTGTATGGCATGTCAATGACATTTATCTGGAGATATTTTATCGCATTGTTTGATCTACTTAGTAGTAAAAAAAAAACCTGTAATTTAAACCAATAATCAACAAGTTTTATAAAAATCCATGTTTCGAGGTAAAAACCTTACAGAACTGGACTATAGTTTGTAAAATATTTTTCCAGGCATTTCAGTGAAAACAACGTTCGAGCAATGGACGAAACTTGGTACAAAAGAGCCGTCGACCAACACTCCATTGAACCAGAGAGTTTCGTATTTTCCGTGCCGTTTGACATTGGAGCATACGGAAAGCCGCTGATAACGGCGACTCATGCCGTTTTTGTTGAACACAAAGGCCATAGAGCTCCGGCAGCAGTTGTCGGTTTACAGTATCAACATGCTACACTGGCGGCGCATTTTTTCAATAATATCACATCAAAGGTATGTAAATTTTATTATTTTATTTATTGCGGGAATTTTAATGTAATCTAATTTTATAAAAAAAATCCAAAATTACAAAATTAAAATGAAGAATATCCACCTTTGATTGTGAATATCTCTAAAATCAATCACTTTATGAGTTCCCAAGAAGAGTACATGAGTTATTTAAAAAAAAAATGACGCAAATTGCTTCATTAATAAAAAATATTAACGTGGCCTTTATCTCATTGACACTCGGTATCATGAAGAAAAGTTATGTAATACGAATTTATTAGGTACCAATTCCATATATGGCCAGTTCAATAAACTAGGTGACGATACGGATGGATGTCACAGTCAGCAAACCGAAGTTATAAATTCTATAACATTGTTTATTTCTAAGAGAATGATATTATGTTTAGTTATCGAAACATATTATAATTGAAAATAAATTAAAGTTCAAAAAGGCAACCTCTCAAAAATTCAAATTAACGTGTTTTAGAATTTTTGAAATAATGAATTTATTCCATACGTTTACATCATACTGTATAACAAACGTTCGCTATATAATTCACCTCGTATTTTGTTTGCTATTGTTATTTATTTCATTATACCTAATTATGAGCGAAAAATCAGACCGTGTGATTGTTTTATTTCGTTATTTTAGTGCACAGGATCGACGACTTGCAAAAAAACATGCGCGAGTGACAAATTAGATTGTTACATACTCGACAACAATGGTTTCATAATTATTTCTGAAAACAACGAGGATACCGGGCGATTTTTTGGCCAAATTGATGGCACTATTATGGATTCTTTGGTACAAGATAGGATTTATGTGAAAGTGCCAGTATATGACTACCAAGGAGCCTGTTCAAATAGCAAATTCCACTTCAGTGGAGGTTCCAACAAAATCTCGGTTAGTGATTTCCTTTTGTTACTTCTCGTTAAATTTTGGACTCTTTAAATTTTAATAGTTAGGGAGCTAGTGGCAGAATTTACTCGTGTGGCAGAAGTTGAAAATAGTGATGTTTTGGTTATAAAAACCAATAATGTCAACATCTGCCACACCATTATCGCTGCAATTATAATTGATAGGATGTTAAACATGTTAAAAGTTCCCCTAACTCATCTGCCCCCTTCTGGCTCTTATTTTAAGTTATTTTTTCAAATATATCTAAACTCCAGATGATGTATATCTCTGCATTAATGAGTAATAAATAATATTTTTTAATTTTGTGATATATAAATGTAAATTATTTGTTCGTCAATAATATTTACAAGAATTTGTTAATTAGGTTGAAAACAATAGTCTGCCATCTAATTTGTACTGCGAAAATTTTCAAAAAAGAAGCTCTATTAAATCATTTGGCTTTTAGCTGGATTATTCCACTATGTGTCCAAAACAAATAATATTCCTATGCCAGACATTAATGTCACTAATTTTCCGTAGCCAGAAGAGTTGTGTTATAACGTAAACGTGACCGAACGTGTCGCAATACCCGAAAGCATGTTATAGTATTGTGATTCATTCATATAATGACTTTTTTTCAAAAACTCAGCGATACCAACCCAACTTACAAAAGCATCAAAATTTGATTCCCTATCGTTCCTAACCACAAGCAAATCGTATGCCTTTTCTGCCACCAGCTCCCTAGCTATAAGTATTTCGATTTTAGGTTGTTGATCCTGCAAAAATCGTATTGAATTTACTATATCAAACCATCTTGGCTGTGCTGACTAAATTCAAAGAAGTGTATGGGACTGCTGTGGCTTACAGTCGAGATGAAGGTAAATTATTTGAAATTATATCTATGGGTTCTACTCCGTGGTCTTTAAAAGCAAAAATGGTATATCTATTAACTCCGTATTAAATTTTTGGATTCATGGGACCCCAAAACGTAAACATCCGTCGAAAACGCTAGGTCGAAAAAAATTATGATTCATATACTTTCCTTAAGTAGGTAGGTACTGGATACAAGAAAGTAAAAGTACAAATATAACCTAAAGGACACAAAAAAATTTCCGAAAAAAGTACCAAAAAAAGTACACAAAAAAGTACAAAAAAGTGCTAGATCTTTTGCTTTAATATAATTTATAATCTCTTTTGTATACGAAGTTGGATAAGAGGTTACTTTTACCGCTATGTCAAGTAATAATTGTATATTATAGCAAAATTTTAAGTTAACTTGTTATAGAATTGCAATCAATTATCAAAACAATTTTTTTTTATTCGTAGATGATTTATTGGATGTATATTCCGATTACGACATAGAGCAATACCCGACAGGTGACGACATTGCGGAAGAACAAGATTCCGTCCTATCTTCACCGTCGAATACTTATTCCCCCTCGTTTATCCCGCCTTACGAATCTGATCCCATGGAAGGAGTAGACGTTGGTCAATTTGGAATCAGACCTTGTGATCGTAAAGTAGACTTGTATGTTTTACAGCCGGACAAGTTGAACACTAGCGGTCAAGGAAATCCTTTGAAGGGCAAGCTCACTAATTGTCATAGCAGCGGTTGTGAAAGGTAAGACGATCTTGTCTTGATATACAATCCTGGCAATAACAAAACTTCGATCCTCTTTTGCTTGTATTGCCAGTTAAAGGTCGGTAGGTGACTCGATCGTTGTTACTGTGTACTCTAACCATAGTGATCAACTAGTGCAAACAGAAACAATTGTGCATTAAGCACGAAAAACAATTGTATCATTAAAAAAAACGTGTATTTACAGGACTAAACCACTAGTATAACATGTCTATTCCACTTGTCACAGAATCCAAATATGTTGTATTCAATTATGACCAAAGCTGATGCATACAATAGAATGACTCTTGTAAGTTGCCTATTACCCAAAATGACTATATGTTTATACACAGGAGTGATAAGACTCATGAGTAATCTATGGTATAGTGGCGTATGTAATTAAAACTGTGCAGTTAAATTCAATAGGCTAACTTACTGACATTCAGCGACAGGGGCCATGTAGACTACACCAACTGCAGGGAAGTACTGTTAAACCTCACACCACTACACATCTTCATACAAGGAGAAACCAGGTCCACCATTCACAGGATAATGTAGGGGCAAAATACAATGAGGCAACTACATATCGTTGATCAATACCAGTAAGTTTAAAAGGATACGATTATAGGGATGCCTACTAATATAGACATATCCACATACAAAATTAAAAGAAATTTTTAAATCCAAATACCAGCCTGAGGATCCTGGAAATAGGGACCTATCATACATGCTGAACTAGTCTGATATAGAGACGGTTTAAAAACCAATGAAAGAGGCGATGCTAGAATCTTTGGACTCGTCAAAAACAACTAGATCTAAAGGCAATCCTCTCACCAGAAATCATATCACCTACAAGACCAGACAGAGCTAAGTAGACAAAACAAAGTAACCTATAGCTAGGGTATCAGGCCATGCAGGACATCAGCGCAATGAAATGGCTGACGAACTAGTCAGAGAAGGCTCAGATAAGGCCATAACATGCCCTGAACCCTTCTGTGGAGTTCCTAAGAAATTGTGTAAGGCATACATCAAACAATGAAAAACATCAATCCACGTCCTGTGCCTGCGTGATTAAATTGATGTTTCTAACACTAGACGAAGAAAAGCCAAAAGTATGTAACTACATACTGGAGCTTCTGTCTACTGTCCAATAAAAGACCAGTTTAGACGATATACTATAACAATAGATCTGAAATGTTCGCGTTGGACAAGGATAAATGTCCAACTCCATTTAAATCTAATCTACTGTGTCGTTTCCTTTCCAGCCTGCGCGAACGCCATTTACTATTCACTTCAACACAAGCAAAGCAGGACCGAAGCCAGTAATGTATATGATTATTTTACTTATTATTTATTATTGTTATAAATTCTAGGCCGTTTAGTGTACAGAAGATACCCCACAGCAATTTAATTCTTCTTGTGGTGGATACCGTATGTTCGTGTGGTAGCAAACAATTGAGTATTGTTCCTCAGGAAGTTAATTATGAATCCAAAAATGGGGGCTGTGTACATAAACCGAAAGATAGTTTGTATAGAAAAAGACCTCCAAAATGCATCAACTACCACCCTGAGGTAAATACATATTTTTAATTTTTCCGAGGATATAAATTCCATTTCCTCATTTTGATTTATTGTATTTAGATTTGTTTATTAAATTGTGGTTTTGATTGCAGGAAATAGAAATTCATCTTTGCGGAGGGACACCAGAACTGCATGTAAATTATATCGTTTTATTGTTAGGTTTTGTCAATTGCCTTGTCGCTTTCATATCGTGATTGAATGCGTATTGAATTAGATTTTAAAAGAAGAAAATCTCAATCTTAAGACCATGTTGGCATTATGTAATAACTGCATTGATCTCTACAGTTAGATAAATTGTAACGTACTATTTATTTGCAAATAGATAAAGTAGGTAATGTTTTTTATATTGACAAAGTATGAAACTAGTTAAATTTTGAATATAATTTATGAGATATAGGAGTAATTTTGGGTGTTTTGTACATATCAAACATTCTAGTCAATGATTTTTTTTTTAATTAAAACAAGTGTCGATCTTTTCAAATAATAATATGTATTTCAAAATGCGTTCTCTATTGACGAACGGTCTTAGTGATGTATAAAAACCGAACACCATCATAATCATTATCATCATAATGTTATCAAATCATTTTTGAATTTTACATATCGAAGTTTGCAAATAAAAAATAATGAAAAGCAAAATAAAATTGTGTACTATTATATTCATCGATTCGTACTACAGACAATAATGTAAATGGCATTCTTTAAATATATAAACTATACATATTTCTATAGGTATAAATGTGTTTTACCCACACATAAATATATCTAAGCAAAGCTGTGCCGAGCACTACCAAAAGTGTTCGCGGTCAAGCCATTTTTGAAAATTGATTAATTGAGAATATAACTTAATCTAAGAAAACAATACAGTAAAAAAACTGTGCCAAGCATATATTTTTTCTCCTAGATAAAAAAAATAATAAAACAGTTCAATAAAAAAAAGAATATAGATAGTAACTGCCCACGAAAACAGTATTATTTCATTTTTAGTGATCTCTCTAAAATATTTTAAAATTTTAATTATGGTTTATTAATGAAAGCTTAGGTATACGAGCTTGCAAGCTTTATTGAGTGCTCGCAACCAGTTTTTACAGCACTAAGCACCGATTTAAAAAAGTACTTGTAGGCACAGTGCTCGGCAGAGCTCTGTATCTAAAACAGGCGGCGACTGACTTGTAACAAAATGTTGTAATGTAATGTATTCTAAGAATATCATTCGATAGTATCGGAAAACGGACGGCTCAAGTTGAGCCATTATTCTCTAAGTACTGGACTGTCGGTTTTTTTACGAATATTTGTTTGTTATATTACAAGTCAGTCACCTCCGAACTGACTGTGTAATATGGAGCACTGTTTAACAGATAAATTGAAATGAGCATTCGCCGTTGTGTAATCACGACTTTTCTCTAATGCTCGCGACAAGTATTACGTTATGCTCATTTACATTGCTCGGTTCAATAGTGCTTCATACGCGTGAATACTTGCAGTTTGCACTGACTTGTAAAGGCGGAGACTGACTTGAACTAAGCTTTGTAATCTCATGCTGGTGTTTCTTTTAAACAAAAAGTCAATACAAAATATAATACAGGTATTAACTGCTCACAAAAAAGTTTATTTTTAGTGATATTTCAAAAAAAAATTAATTTTTAATTATAATTTAGTATTGTAAGGTTATACGAGTTTGTATGCTTTGTTGAGTACTTGCAACCACTTTTACTGAGCACTAAGCACCAATTTAAAAAAGTGCTCATTAGTACAGTGTTCCGCAGAGCCTTGTATCTAAAAAAGACGGCAACCAAAACGGCGACTAACTTGTAACACGAAGTTGTAATGTAACACGAGCATTTGATGTTGAAATCAATAATTTTGTAATGTAACTCGCCAAGAGTTGAACAGTTTTGTAATGTAATTACATTACAACATTTGTAATAGCACGGCGAATGCTCATTTAGATTACTCGGTTCAACAGTGCTCCATAGGTGTAGATACTTCAGTTTATAGTCTATAGTACCGGGTGTCCCATTATATTTTCCAACATTTAGCAAGCTTATAACTTTTAAACGAAAGTACTTAAAAATATGCGATGTTCACCGAAAGTTTTATTTCGGTCAATCCAAAATTATTTAGCAATTCCTGAAAACCAAAATGGTGGTTTTTTAAAAACGTATTTGTTTATTTTTTTAGTGGAACACCCTGTATATATTTTGATGATCCAAAAGCCAATCCTTTTAGCTATCTAGCGATATAAAGTTTTTTGAAATCGATGAAGAAAAAATGACTGAACAATTAAATTTTCTGAAAAAGCCTGCAAAATCAATAATTAATAATAATTCTCATCAATAATTTTTGTGAAAATATATTCAAAATCAATAGTCAACAATAATTATTGCTTATTAATGATATTATAGTATAGCCTAATTAACTTATTTAACATTTTAACAAACTTTTATTAAACAATTTAAGAATTCTAATTTATTTCTTACACTTTAACTTTTCATTACAACGTTCTATACTAAACTAAACTGTGCGCTGATAAGCCGGCTATTTATATTAGTCCAACTCTGTTACTAGAAGACACCAGAGGCTCTCGAAAATTCCATCTCTATGACTAAACGGCAATCTCCGCCCGTTCTAGCCGTTTGAAGCCATCTGAAGGTCGCGCGTACACAGGGTAGGCTTTAGGAATTTCATGACAATACATTTCGGTGAAAATCACATGTTTTTAAGTATTTTCGTTTAAAAGTTATAAGCTTGCTAAATGTTGGAAAATATAATGGGACACCCGATATAATGCGTAAATGCTCAGTTCGTTTTCCTGCACTGACTATCGAATGCTCGTGTTACATTACATTAAATTCACTCTCCGCCTAAAAAAAATTTTGTCATCTCTCATACCGTCATCTACTTTTGCTGAACAAGATTTTGCTTGGACATGACTGAAACAAGTTGATAAGTGAAAGTAGGTGAGTCGTGTTGAGTTGAATTTGCTACAGAGCTCAGTTACTTATCGATACTGACGAATCAAATTGCTTGTTACCCAGCCAAACTGAAGCTTACGGCCAAAATGCAACAGCAGTGTAACGTGTAGAATAACGCGAACAAATATAATACAAACATTTTTCGTAACTTAGATACATTCGATAAATAATGTTACATCTAAATAGGTAAAATTAGATACAGCTAAGATTTTAATCTCAATCAGATATTTTTTATAATTTTGGAAAATCTTTCTCTCAACTTTTTTTGGTTATAACAAGGTTTCTAACCCTTATCCTTTCTTTGAGTCTAATTTTTATAAACTATATGTATTAGCGTGTGGTTTGGTGCTTATTAGTATTGAAACTTATTTTACATCATAAAATTCATACTTCTAAAAAGAACTAATACAGTTGAAGTTAGAAACCATACAAGCATTATACTTATATTGTCATCGATAAATGATTTAGATTTAAAGTCGCAGTTGTATCAAAATTTTTTATATAATTAATAGTTGACATATTTTTATTGATATAGAGATTTTAGCTCGGAGTAAGGTAATAAAAAGTAAAATAAAGCAAGAGTTTTAAAAATCGTTTTATGAACATTACCTTTTGCCATTAATTACCTTTATATTTCGTCAATTTATTGTTTAAACTCGATAGCGATAATGGTTAAATATTTTTGCTTTATATAATGTCTGTATCTCTACCAGCCATATATAATCTAAAAAAAATTCTAACTAAAAATTTTGCTTTTTCCTCGTGACATTTTTATCAATATATCCTTAATCTCTTAAACATCGATTTGCAATTTAAAAAAATGTATTTTTAAGACAATACAAACTTGATAAAACTGTGAATATTGATATACAGGTTATATAGAATAGTTCATTCATGGTATTGTAAATAACAATGTACGTATGTAAATGTAAGTCAAGTCTATCGAGCACCATCGTTCTTATTATGGTTTTATAATCTTATTTTTAGTTTTTATTTTTATAAATGACTGAGAAATAGTATTACATAGTAAGTTTATATCAAGAATCAGTCTTTGAGCTGTTTTGAACACACCACGCCAACAAGATGTACCTCTCGCTAAACTTTTGAAAAATTCGAATTTTCTAAAAAGTCTGAAATGTATTGATCGCTGCAATTTTAAATACATATCGCCTGGTACAACTTGTAGATGCACATCATTGCACACATACATATTATGACATATACATATAATCACACAATAATCTCCTGGATCAGTTAGAGTTAGGCAGAAACAATAATTTATTCTAGGTATAAAGGGTATTTGCTTGTAGAGGGCCAAAAAAATTACGATTTTTGTATTTTTGATTAGTTAAAAAATTAAAAATATCTTATTTTTCAGTTATTGTAGTTAGCATAGCAATTCTTGGATATACCTTAACATTTATTGCCATGCAGTATTTCGAAATACGTGAGATTGATCACCTTCTCAAATTCTGTTATTATTAAACAAACGAAAAACAAGCTGTGTGAACACATCTTTAGAAATTATATTCCAGTTTGGAGCAAAATCCAATAAATCCACTATAGCGATAGGAAGATCCTGGCAAGAGTTTCCAGGTTATTGATTTGTCAACTCTTGGCTTTTTGTCGAATGCTCCCGCTCACACTTTCTGCCTTCTGAGAGAGAAGAATATTCCCTTGCTCCATTCATCTCTCAGTAATGAGGACGCTGCATGACCTTTTAATTTGTTTTGTTAGCAAATACTTCTGGGGACTTCATAATAAAACTTCCTATGCAATTTTAATTTTAAAATATTGTAATTGTGGAAAATATAACTAAAATAAAAATTGATTTAATTCGGTTCTTCATTTAACATTTTTTTTTAAATTTTGAGAAATAACCTAACTTATTGTAATTTGAGTAAATTAAATAATAAAAACTCTCATATAAGATGCGAACTTTAACGCTAAGTGTAATATATCCCATATACGACAGAACAAAGAGTTAAACTACGTAATAAAAAAGTTAAATATGCATATTCTTCCTCCAATCAATCGCAGTCATTACTTATACCTTCTGCTTGAATTATTTTGTTCTGTATCATTCAAAATTTTGGTCTCTTTTCCAAATTGTTTTACATTTTAGATCTTCTCTTGTGGATAGACTTCTGTAGCGAAAATAGTAGTTTCCCTAACAAGTGCGGAAAGTGATACTTTTCCGCACGCGATTGCGGATGGCCGAACGACGCGTTAGTGGAGTTCGGCCAGCAATCGCGAGCGGAAAAGTCACTTTACGCACGTGTTAGGTACACTATTTTTTCTACTAGCGTGCGGAAAAAACCCAAAAGTTAACATAAAGAAACATTATTAAATACATATCAACAAATTAATTATTCTTAGTATTAATATTGAACGTGCAATTTGTAGCATTCTGCAAATTAATTGCAGAGGCTAAAATGTTTTCCAATAAAGTCAGATTTCGATTTTCCACTGCTTTGTCAGCACTAAATGTTGCAATCGTGGCGATGGGAACTTGGCTGGAAGAGGTCATTTTGGAAGGCTTTACTGGTGACAGCTGCTGACTAGTGGAAGGGCCAGCGACAACGTCATTGAAGTTTAATATTTTATTCGATAGGCTCTTTTGGAAACTTGGTGACCTTTCTACATAACCTTCAGCGACGCTAGAAGATTTCCAACCTCCGAGGCGAGGATTTGCAAGCTTTAGATAACTTGCAATCTCTGATGGCATTTTTCCGAAGGTGTTTATTCCGATACATTGTACAGTGCAAGTTTATATTTCCCGAAAAATCGCTTATGTGGGGTTTCAGGCTTTCTTAAACTCACATACTTTCTGAACAAATTGAGCAATTTTCCATTTTCAGCTTCCTCAGAAATCGCAAAGCTTCTGAAAGAGTGGTTTTTTTGTGTCTGGGATATTTATCAATAAAATATTTCCTTTGTCATCAATATGATCTAAAGACATCTTTGTTAATTCTTCTCGCCTACATGCGCTCGCCAAACCAAAAATCGTAGCGACTTTTATATGAAGATAAATTTTGTCAGGCGCTTCATTTATAAACTTTTCTTCTTTTGAGAAAATTTTTACCTTTTTTGGTCTAAATCCAATGTTTTGTTTTTATATATGCCGGATCTTGAAAAACTTTTTAACATTGAGTACCTGGACCAAAGAGTGTTTGGCTTGCATGTTTTGGAAATTTCAGCGAAATAAGCCAAAAAAACGTCTTCTTTAAAAGTTTTAATTCCCTTATTCTGGCACCAGTTTTCAAACAAAATATATTCCTTTTCATACCTATAACGGGATTTTGACGGTAGTAGATCCAAGTTTGCAGTTCTAGCTGCTTCCAAAACTGACTCTGGCAAATCTTCGTCTGAAGAATCCATGAAAAATTGTCTTCTAGAAAAAGATGCGACGGTAAAATTGGTTTTGACAAGGTAGTGTTTTTACTGACAGGTTTATTTTTTCTTTGTTGCTACGGTGATTCAAAGTGACAAATAAAAACGTTTCTTTTTATTAAAAATTATAGCAGAATTTTAATAAATTTCTTAATTTTTCAGTCATTTTGTAAACTACAACCATACAAATATATATTTTAAATATTCAAATGTCAGTATACTCCCCAAAAACTTAACAAATTTACTAGTGCGGAAAAGTGACTCTTTCAACACTAAAATGAGTGCGGAAAAGTGGACTTTTCCGCACGCTAGTAGAAAAAATAATTTCAATCCTCTCCTGTTTTAAAGGCAAATTTACTAAGTTTCGATTGAGCTGCAAATTCGGAACCCGTGAAGACTATATTTACCACAAGATCTTATCTTTATTTTCCTTCATCTGACATTCCAAAACATTTATGCCCTTTTGGATATATTGCTTAATGTTAGGTACTAACTAAATCGATATGCCGCTCCTAACAATTTTTATAAAAAGTAGATTTATTGGTTTTTGCTCCAAAACTTCAGTTGTGTCTGCAGGTTAAACTTTCACCATTCTACAGTTGTGATATATATGTAAAAAATATTTTATTTTTGGACCCGAAAAAGCTATTACTCTTAAGATTATTATTA